AACATCGACTGAGATAAAGAATAAAATGAAATATTAAAATCACGATATATCTCGCTGCATTGCGCGAGTATGCTTCTAGTATATATATATATATATATATATATATATATATATATGAGATTATGTGAAACCAACATGTTTTCGTGAGACTCATGAGACCATTTTTTACACTTAAAACTTCATAGCAAAATGTTGTGAAGATGACCTTCACTGTGTTTTTGATGTGAAGGTTCGACTTTTATTTACCTTCACAAAGTTTTATGTGAAGTTTCAAATATAAAAAAGTGGTTTCAYATGTCTCATAAAACCAGTCTGGTCTCATGGGAACTAGGGGTGCTCAAAAACCCGACCAATTCGATCAACCCAACCCAACGCGAAATAACTCAACCCGATGTCTAATCGAGTGGTAAAATTTTCAAACCATAGGTATTGGGTTGATATTATTTGAACCCAACCCAACCCAATGAACTCGATATCTTTTTATTTTTTGAATTTAATATGATCATTAAATTTCTATTAATATATACATTAGATAGTTACACTATCACGCACGCTCTTCATATATACATATTTTCAATATATTCAATCTATATATAACTCATTCGTATATATGTTCAGTAACTATGAACATATATATATATATATATATATATTGAGAAAACTAATTGAATGCGATATACGTAAGAAGTATGGATAAGTTGTATCAAATTGTTGATGATGAAAAGAAATTATGAGTAGAAAAATAACATATTCAAAGTTAGAAGAATATTTTAATGTATCAAAGTATCAACCCAATCAACCCATACGGGTTGGGTTAGGTTGGATTAAGATTTTTCAAGCTGCAAGCATTGGGTTAGGTTGTTCAAATGTCTTCAACCCGATCAACTCAACCCATGAGCACCCATAATAGGAACCTACCCCCCGCCCTCCCCGGCACGCACGCACGTATATATATTGATTAATAATATAAGGGCAGATTTATTTATAAACCTTAAATTATTTTAGGACCATACATTTATTTTATGAGTATTCATGAGAATACTATTCATTATGAATATTTATCATAACATTCATCATGATACACACAATTTACAAATAAATAATTCCTAAAATATTTAAGGTTTTTAATAAATCTTCCTGTAAAAATAATGTCACTAAAATAGACTTGGGATTATGTGAGATACGATTTTTACACTTAAAACTTCACCGCAAAACACTGTGAAGGATCTTCACAGTATTTTTACTGTGAAGATYCGGCTTTTATTATGAAGTTTCAAGTGTAAAAATCACATCTCACGTGTCTCACGAAAACAACATTATCTCGTAAATCCAATCCTATTAAAATATTTTTTTAAATTAAAATCGATATCAACCAAGACAATCGGTTCCTATTTTTTCCGTATCAAAAATATATTTTAAAATAATCTTGAATATTATTTTATTTAATCATAAAAAAATGATAAGAGTAAATTACATAAATCGTCCTTGTATATTACAAATCCTATAGGTTTAGTCTATACACTTTACTCATTACAATTTTCTCCGTTATATTTGAAAATTTTCTTCGAACATGGTTCCTGTCGCTAACATTCATCAAGAGTCGTTAAGTTATGCCACGTACCTCTCTCATAAGGGTATTATAGTCCTTTTTTATTTTTGTATAAATATTAAAATAGGACACGAACTTGAGCCTTTTATACAAAGGCAGAAACATTTACCAACTTAGCCATTAAAGTTATGTGTTGATATATCAGTTTCAAAAAATATAAGGTAACACCCAACAAATTAATACGATGACGCTCCTCAAAAACGTAATTTCTCCCCCTTACGACGAAACCATGAAATGATAAACCTTACCACCATATCTATCTATGTGCATAGGTGCCATGGGTGGCACGTGCCACTGTATCGTTTCTCCGCCGAAGGGTAAAAAATTTAGGTTTCGTGAACGATGCAACCGTATTAATTTGTTGTGTGCCACCATATGTATTTTGAAACTACAATGAGAACAAGTTTTATTTGGTAGAGTTASTTTGTAAGGCTTTTATTCTATCCTACACCCAAGTCCGAATCATGTTAGTGTCATTTTCTTAGTCAAACGGTGCCACCGTTTGAAAAAAATTATGTATATTTGTTTCTTATAGTCAAACGGTGTGACTGTTTGAAAAAAAATTTCTTTTTTTTTCTTATGGTCAAATGGTGCCATCATTTAAAAAAAAATCTGGGTCCGTCCCTGTATGTGGGTCCGCCCTTGCATACACGGGATGACTTAATGCCTCATATTTAACGGACGTTAGCTACAAACACCATATCCAAAAGCAAAATAGAAACAATAAGTAGTTTTATAATAAATAAAGTGTAGGGGGGTAAATATACAATAATTGAAAAATACAGGGACGATTTATGTAATTTGATATTTGATATGCACCGATGATGAGGGGTGGATCCTTTCTCACAAACCCAAACCTTGACATACGTCTCTCCCCACTTCCATACGATTCCATCGATTCATCTTCTTCTTGCTTCTATGTCTATTCCTTTTATGATTGATTTTGTAACCCTAAAGTGAAGTAGGTCTACTTGCAGAAATCATCAGTGATCAACATAGATGAGGAGGATGGTGAAGACAATTAACAGTAGCCAAACTTCTGTCTTTCTCGTAGTCAATGCTTATCCCAAAAGGTACTCTTCCAAGATCCCCTCTGATTTAGTCCTCTTCTTGGGTCTTGGCTTCATAGATTGGTAGCTTTCCTTTTCCTGCTGCATCTGATTTTTAGTAATTTCAGTATTACATGTCAAATAGCATGGAATTTCTCTTGCTTTTGATGCAGTATGTGGAGATTCATGCGTTAGGAGGTCGCCTAGATATAGTTTTCATCTAGGTTTTATCATCATTCTTATGTTAGATATTTGTTTGCTGATTCATCTTAGTCCATATAAAAACTTGTGTCTTTTGGATAATAAATTCAGAAAAATTTGGGGGTTTTGTGTTCAGCTAGTAATATGAAAGCTGATTCCATCTTTCTTTAGGTTCTAGATTGTTGTTGTATTTGGGGGTTCAGTGGTTGCTTAGTTATAGATTATAGTATGTTGAACCTGATATCGATATGATAGATTTAGATTTTTCTTTTTAGAAATGACCCTTGTGATGAAGAACTCGAACCCACGATCCCAATTGGTAGCCCTTAGAAGTGTGATTTCGTGAGATGGGAGATTCTCTTCTCACAGGCTTTTTAATGTTAAATCACCCTCCTTCAACTCTTTTGTCAATGGATTCAAGCGCCTCTTCTTCTCATGATGATTTAGACCTTGAGATGAGTCACCAGATCAACCCCACCCGTCCGCCCGATATCAATTTACCCCTCTCATCTGACAGAAGCTCCCCACCACAGTCATGGAACCAAGATCAGTGTGAAGTTCTTGATGTTGGAGTTGGACTTGTATCCCAGTTGTATGAAACCGAAAGCTTCCTCAGTGTCCCGAAAATTGGGAGGAAATGTGCAAAAAGAGTAGATAGCATATGGGGTGCCTGGTTTTTCTTTAGTTTCTATTTCAGGCCAGTCTTAAATGAAAAATCTAAGGCAAAGATAGTAAGAGACAGTAATGGGGTTTCTGGGTTTGATAAATCGGATCTCCATCTTGATGTTTTCATGGTTCAACATGATATGGAGAACATGTACATGTGGGTGTTCAAAGAAAGGCCTGAAAATGCACTCGGAAAGATGCAGCTAAGGAGCTACATGAATGGGCATTCACGCCAAGGAGAGCGTCCCTTCCCTTTTAGTGTTGATAAGGGTTTCGTTCGATCTCATAGGATGCAACGCAAGCATTACAGGGGGCTCTCAAATCCGCAGTGCGTCCATGGTATTGAGGTTGTTTCGTTGCCCAACCTCACAATTCTTGACGAAGATGAGCGCAAAAGATGGACAGAACTCACCGGAAGGGATCTGAATTTCATGATCCCACAAGAAGCTAGTGATTTCAGTTCGTGGAGAAATCTTCCCAACACTGAATTCGAACTTGAGAGGCCACCTACACTAAGAAACAACTTGAATTCTCAGTCAAAGAAGTTACTTAATGGATCAGGGTTAAATCTTTCAACTCAACCTTCCAATCACAGCAATGGGGATACAAATGTCATGGATCTTTCTCCAATTGGCAACAAGAAAAGGAAGGACTTATTCCCACATGGAAATGAAGAAGATATCTGTTTAACGGTTAATCATCCTCCGCCTGAAAGATTACCAAATTTGGAAATGAATCCAAATGAGCCATATTGGTTGAATGAGTTCACTGGGGTTGTGAGGAATGCTTGTGGACCAGTGACGGCTGCAAAAACAATATATGAAGATGAACAAGGTTACTTGGTTGTCATAAGCTTGCCATTTGTAGATCTTCAAAAGGTCAAAGTTTCTTGGCGAAACACCCTTACGCACGGGATCATTAAGGTTTCTTGTATAAGCGTATCTCGCAAGCCGTTCATCAAAAGGCGCGACCGCACCTTCAAGCTTACTGATCCATGTTTGGAACACTGCCCTCCTGGAGAATTTGTCAGAGAAATCCCGCTTTCAACTCGCATTCCTGAAGATGCAAATATAGAAGCATATTATGATGGACCTGGATCAGTGCTGGAGATTTTGGTCCCAAAGCTCCGGGAAGGCCCAGAAGAACACGAGGTGCGTGTTTGTCTTCGCCCTCATCTTGTTGGTAACGATCTTATGTTGACTTGAGAAGATGCTTCTTTGGAAGGTAAATTCATGGGGGGTCGTGGTTTGTAGTTTAATGTTGTAGTATGTATTGTATGAAGTCGCATAGCCGGCCATTTATTAGCATCATGGGTTGGTTGCTAGAATAAAACCGATTTCCGTATTATTTAAATACTAGTTAAACGTTTGATATCATATGAATCAATCTGCCTCTAAAACAACAAGTGTTTGCACTTGAATGCTGTATGTTATGTAGTGTTTGATCTCATGGTGCCTTATTAGGGGTTGAGATACTTGGAATTCCGAAGGGCCACATCAAGATTTATGGTGTAATTCTGACTTTCCTTTTTGTGTGAATATGGAAAGTGTTGTCATGCCTTTTTCTTTCTTGGTGGAAGAATATCTCCATATAACTGTGCTTATTGTTGTTTTTCCCCATCTGGGTGGCTGCCTGCCTTTCTTTTTCCTTTCCTTTTATCATGTTTTGAGTTTACTGAAAAAAGTTTATCTGGTCTGTTATAAGTTAGCTTATTGAAAACGCTACTTAAATAAGCTTTAAATGTTTTTTCCTTTCATATAAGGGGTTGTTTGTTTACCTCTTAATAGTTTCATTAAGAGGAAGCCTCCGAATCGTTAAGAGGTKAATCTTGTTTGGCAAAAAAAAAAAGGTTCTAAAACCCTTTGAATGATTGTGTATCCTGGGTCTCCTTCAACCATTCAACGTCCTAATTTTGTTGCCTCTTAATTATTTTGCACCAAACCATTCAATAACTGTCAAACGGTATCTTATACTTATCTGATTAATTTTTTTAATTTGGTTTTTTTGGGTTCATTTTTTAAGATTTATGCATTTTAAATACAAGTCCAACTCCTATCCACTAAGCTGATTTATTGGTTGATGTAATAGTATTGACAAATGTCACAAGCATTGGCAATTTTAAAAGGGATTTTGAGAGGTGGAGGTGTTAGTTGTTGTGGCAACTGTTTAAATTACTTATGAAAGGGTTTTCAGAACTTTTTGGTGGTTGTGGAAGGTGACATGGAAATAGCAATAGCAGGTGGTTATTGTGTCACCCTAGAGGCCTAGACACACATTATTTTGGTCAGCCATGTGTTTCATATGTTGAAATAATTGGACAAGACTAAACATGTAAGATTGACTTAGTGGTTGTTTGGTAAATACTGGATGATTGAGTGTAAAATGATTAAAAGACTGTATAATTTTTGAAAATGGTTGTTTGGGGACTGTTCTGAATCAACAGTCTGAATGACATAAAATTACATTTTTACCCCTAGTCTTGTGTTTAAAGAAAATTAATGTCTGACAAAAGATTTCTATCTGCCACTCTTAATCAATTATAAAAATTATAAAGATACTTCAATTTCTATCTACCACTCTTAATCAATTAGATTAAACACATTGGTGGTTGCATCATACACGTTGTCCGTTTTATTTTTCAGTCTCGTCCATGCATTGTATTTTTCTTTCAAACAATCATAATGGTTTTTCATTCGTTTTTGATCTGCGACGAAGTTATGTTTGTATTTAACCGTCTCCACAACATTCTTCCATGAACGCGGCTTAAGACTAGTGCCTTCCCGTCCATGTATAATGACCTCATGCATATATGCTACAAGAAACGTTCGCACCACACTTTTTTTTCCAGTTTATTCTACACCTTTTTGGTTGTGAACCATCACCAACAATGTCCATACCTTACAAATAACAACATTTAGCAAATCAAAATCAAAATTCTAACAAATGACCACATAGAACAAATCTCTTACAATTCCCTATCAAAAATAGAAGCTATCGATGGGGCTAATGCCTGCTATAATCTATACCATTATCAAATTACTAATAACGAAAATGTCAAAAGTACCTAAAAATCACGTAGATACTGGTCTTAAACGTATACATTTGACTCAAATACCTACCCAATTTAGGCAATGTTGTTGTACTTGCAAGGTAAATCAACATGCATGTTTTCTTTCCTTTTGCTACTGAAATGACTTTGGTATGGGGTTGGAGATGAAGAGCGATTAAGAGATAAATTACCATTCAGAGCTTTTTAAAAAGTCTTGCCAAATAAGATTAGGTCTGACTGATTTAGACCCTTGCATCTTAATGAGATCATTAAGTGGTAGACAAACAGCCCCTTTATTTACTGGGTGCATTTGATATGCTAACAGAACTAGACGGGACTAGACATGCAAGGTTGAAGTACACAGGTTAATCCCGACCTCGCCCTTTTTTCTGCCCCAAAGCCCGTCCTAATCCTGAAAAGTCAGGGGTCTTTTTTTTCTCATTGGAAGCGGGTTTAGAAAGGTCTGGAAGAGCTCGGGTCTCGTGCATTTCTAGTATGGCATACTAAACATGCCCTAATTGCCTGCAATTTATGAGAAAACATGTACTTCCATATATGTACAATGTTATTCATAAATACTACTGTAACATGGTTTCAGATCAGCAATTATCGAAGAAGGAATGAAATAAGCCTCGTTGGCCCTTGTTGCGATTCAATGTTTTATGGTTGAACCGGTAGTCATGAACCCTAAATAGGTCCGGTTCTAAGTGCGTGGTCCAAATCAGCAATCAAATCATTAACATCTTCGATCCCCACAGATATGCGAATAAGATCTTCAGTTAGACCTCTGGCCTCACGAACTTCTGCTGGTATAGATGCATGCGACATGAAGCACGGCATGCTTATTAGTGATTTTACACTCCCTGCCAAATTGGAAAACATCGTCAACCAAAAAGTAGCAATACAGCTTAAATGTTAATCAAGAATTGATTATAAAGTTGTGCATAATTGATAAATATAAGGAATTTGAAAAGGTTGAAAAGAAATAATGTCATGATGAATAATTCAGGAAATAGTTGGCTCCAAGGTTCTCAAAACATTTACGATCCAGTAACCAAAGAGGCATTGAAAACAAGTCACCAGTTCAATATGAGTAGTTTTGGGCTATTCTAATAAAAACATGTACTCCCTCAGTTCCAGATGATTGACCACATGTCTATTTTAGTATGTCCCAAAATAAACGTCCGTTTTCAAAAGTAAGTGTCTACTTTTCACATTCTACTCTTAATTACGACATGGAGAATTTCTCACTCTGCTATTAGGGGTAAAATAGTCATTTAGTTAATTAAAAACTGTAATAATTACATAGAGGTGATTTCATTTACAAACCCAATCATTAGTACAAACCAATCTCAACTGTTCATCTAGTCTAATGAATATCTCGACTGTTTCCTAATATAAAGTGTTGATTCTAATATATGAACTCTGATAATCTTCTATAAATATCCAAATCATAATAAATAAACTCACATCATTTCTATAAATATCTCGATAATTGGTTTGTATGGTTTTTACTGATAGTTGTTGTAAAAGATCTCTCCTCTATATATTTCCTAAAACTGTGTGTCCGTTTTGATTATGGACATTTATTTTGGGACGGAGGGAGTATAACGTATGATGTATGACAAACAAAGATCATTTAGTCGGAGGGAAAAGGTTGAAGAAAAATATGAATGTGAAGAGAAACAAAAATTACCAAAACTAACGGTTATGCCGAAGTAGTTGGTAGTCTCGACTATGTGCTTAGAGAGAGCCAATGACCCTGTTAGAAAACTCAAAACAGATCCCGCTCCCTTTGCCTGCAAAACAAAATGCTCGTTGTTACTTGTCTCTTCGTATTTGAAAAAAGCGTTATAATAATAATTATTATTATACTTGTGTGTTTCAAATACCCCAACAACCCCATTTCCAGCCAAAATACCCCCATTTAGTCACTTAACTCCTGCAGCATAAACTAATTTGGCCTTTATAATGTAAAGTGATGAGTTATCCCTTAATGTGAATTATTATAGTGCATAAAGTGCAAAGTCACTCGCATGATTGTTGATCGGAATGCTATTTTTCTTTCTGGGTGGGGATAAAGGTAAGGTCGATAAAAGAAATACAAAAGCGTAAAGGTTTGGCCGAAAAAAGGGGGGGGGGACCAAACTCTTTTATTGTACTCAAGGCTAAAGGGATCCATGTTGGTGTTTAGGCAATCTCTTATTTTATTGGATTATATGTAAATAAATAAAAGTGGAGGTTCAAATGAGAATATGTGAATGCCTATATCACATGTGATTAAAACCTCTGAGGTTGCCAAGCCAAGCACGATGGGGTTTTTATTATAAAATCATAAGTGATATAGGCGTTCTTGTAAGTTGACCTTGTTCTCATTTGACCCTGACCCTATCTATAAGGAGGTTCAAGTAAAAACCATGGAAATCTTACAAACCAATCTTAATTGTTATCTAGCCTAACGTATATCTGTTTCTATAAATATGTTTGATTGTATCCTAATCTAAAGAAATGATCATAATGAATGAACCCTATCATCTTCCATAAATATCTCCATTGTTTCCTAAGATAAGCGTTGATCATGGTTTATAAGTTTTCCATTGTTTGTATTTGAACTCCTCTCTCTCTCTCTCTCTCTCTTCTCTGTGTGTGTGTGTGTGTGTGTGTGTGTATATATATATAAGGTGAAGCAAAGAGAAACCAAGAGTAAATACCTGAGAGTAGTGTAATGAGCGTCCAGGATGGTTAGGAAGACCAGCATAATTAACCTTCTTTACAAGGGGATGAGAGGACAGAAATTCGGCTATCTTCTGTGCATTATCCTGCCAAGACACTTGTAAGATACACAATAAGATGGGTAAAACAGGCTATTTAGAAAAATATAACGGGTGATGGCTCAGCTACCCATCGTAGACCTTTAAGAAGACAAAATCTCAAACAAACCATATTCAACTGGATCATGCATTATTTGAATTGTAAAAGGTTTTCTCAGGAAGTGTGTAATCCCATAGATGAAGCGTAAAAATACAAAGATGGGACATGACACAATATAAACGAAACCCTATTCTACCTTTTTCTCATAAAGAGACACTATAGGGTTAAAGGGCCTCTAGTGAGCCTAGGCAGTGTGTTGATAAAAAAAATATTAATAATTTAAATATAAAATTATGTGACAAAGACACGAGTGGATATGTATGTATGAAAGCGTACTTGTTGCTTCTCGACACGTAAAGCCATTGTCTTGATGCCCCGTAAACAAATCCAACAATCAAAGGGTGCCAGCCCAGAGCCTTCCGCATTTTGTAGAAAATACAATTCTTTTGCCAGCCTGTTTTAAATCAGCAATGCAAGACAAAAGTTTCCATAAGCAATCGATTCTTTTACGCATTTGGTTGAACAAATGCATCAATATGCCGTTAATAGTTTCTTGGATAAACCAAACAGGATATCATAAAATGCACAGACCTTTCCCCTCTTACGGCAAGCACTCCAGCCATGACATCACTGTGTCCAGCAATGAATTTTGTAGCTGAGTGCATCACAATGTCTGAAAAAAAAGCAGATAAGTTACTATTGAAGATATAAGCTCACAGAAGTTACATAAACAAACATAATTATATAAGCACCTGCTCCGAGTTCCAAGGGTCGAGACAATACAGGAGACATGATACTATTATCCACCAACAAGAGAGCATTGTTAGCATGAGCAATCTCCGCTATTTTCTGAAATGAAAAACCATCATACCCTTTATCTAACGCTAATTCAAATAGGAGGTAAATTCAACATTATATTAGAACTCACAACAATAAAATCGGTTTATAGGATGCTAATAATTTCTAGGTGTCCCAATAGACTGCTTGGACTTAAGTTTATAAAATCAAACAATAAAGTGTCCTATCTAAAGGTGTTGTAATAAGTTTATAAGACGCTTTTAGGCGTCTTAACAAGTGTTTTAGGAGACTTCTAATACAATGCTTCATATTAGCTATTTTATAGGACACTTTTGAGAATTGTCCTATGAACACATCTTTTAATAGGACATTTGTTTTTATAAGACCCTTTTTCAAATAGTTTCCAATAGAATAGCTAATACGACGTTTTTCATAAAAATGTCGTAAAAAACTAGTTACAACGCCTAAAACGTCTTGTAAACTTATTACAACACCATTAGATTGTACACTTTGTCGTTTCATTCTATAAATTAAGTCTTCTAAAAGCAGTCTATTAAACGCTTAGACATTTTTGGCGTCCTATAAACCCAGTTTTGTTGTAGCTACTTACAGAAATATCAGAAATTTGTATTCGGGGATTGGTTGGACTCTCCAACCACACGAGCTTTGTCTGGGGGCCAACTGCAGCAGCAACCTCATCCAAGTCAGTCGTGTCCACTCGCCTTCAAATTTGGTTTTAAGATGTTATAGACTTATGGTTATACAGATAAAGTATTTGTGTTGTTAAGGATATGTACTAACTTAACCACGACTCCTGTCCTAGGAACAACTTGTGATAGTAACCGATCAGAACCGCCATATATGTCCTCTCCGGCAACAATTTCTTCACCTACAAGCACAATGTTCCTATTACCATCAATGGACAATTCATATAAAAAAGTAAAAAAGTGAGCATTGTGTCAACAAGATGCACCAATGTTTATTTGATTTTTACCGTTTCCAACTAGATGACTGACTGTGGCTAAAGCGGCCATGCCACTGGTAAAGCAAAATGCTCGATCTGCTTTATCAAGTTTTGCCAAAAGGCTGAGAATATGAAAGAAGAATAATGTTAAAACAAGATGTTACAGAAACACAATACTACTTAAAAGTTAAAACACATTAGTGGCAATGTCCAAATGAGAGCTTGAACCTTTCCAACATATCGCGTGTGGGATTGCCACTCCTCGTGTAATCATAAGGGCCATTTTCAGTTGCCGAAGGCTGCACAAGCACAATTAAAGTTTATGTAAGTTATTATATGCCTACGACACATGTCACACAAGAATACTGCTAAGAAGTATGTAAACCTATAGGGTCGCACACAAAAAATACATTTGCCTCCATTTGCAGAAACCCAAGATAAATCAAGTTGATTATAGAAATAATTATTCTTGGGAGGATAATTATGAAAATATGTGTTAAAGTGTAATTATGATAATTACAGGGCATTATCTATTAATGTATATAATTACATTAAAGTTTAAAATAATTATATATTTATAAATAAGTACAAATAGTTATTTTCGGGCAACAGTTTATCTGTAATTCAGACCATATAAATAAGGTGATAGGCTAAATCAATTTTTACTGATTGAATCATTTAGATTGAGCTGCCAAATATAGAATACATAATAGAAACCTTTTCTTTTCTGTAATACATATACATCTAGGGTTTTGGGCTAGCACCTGGTGGAGGTCAGAAAACGTGTTCGTGTGTGGACTACAATAGAGGAAACCTACGTTGGTTTCTAAGTGCTCCATCAAAATCATCGTCAGATCTGAAAAGTACAGATTCTGAACGCCCTATGGCGTGTCCAAATTTGTTTTAATTGTTACCGGATCATGCTTGGGTTTTAAAGATTAAGCAAAGTTTTCTTTATTGTAACCTAAATTATTTTTCCCATTGCATTTTAAATGGTTACAAATTGTTTTAAAACCCAACACTTTCAATTATAATCCTCAGGATGCTAGGCAAACAATCTCCACCTTCTGTCAAAACGCATACTTGCAGAAATATCCCTTCCTTTCTATATGACATGAAGGCCAAACATGAATCTTGAATGTTGAATCAAGTAGTTGTTCAAAGTTCAAGTAAATTACTTGACATCTTCTACATCAATTTTCCCGATTTGCGATGAGTTGTATATTGTATGTAATTGTTGAATTATTTATCAAAACTTTTAAGTGAAGTAATATCAACTTGGGAGTTGGAAGGTAGTGTTTTTAACATTCAAATGTCAAATTTTGACCCATATGGGATGAAGTGAGAACCAGAAAGTTCCGAGTGTAATAATAAACAGTAAAATGGCAATGAATTATGAAACATCTGCTATGTCCAGCTCATGCAACGACACAAATCCAACTTCTAATTGTTGAAGAAAAAGGGTATTTAGCTTCCTTCTCAACTTTTTACCCGTTACATAGTTTCATTATAGAACGCTACAAACTTGCAACATATATACACTATACAGAATAATTTATGGACCATCCCTGCAAAGGTGAGTGATTCATTGACCCCATTGATTGTGTTTATAATGGTCTGCTTTTAAACCTCTAAATCAAATAAACATGGGTCAGATGGCTGACAGATGATACAAAAATGATGCTGCAAAAGATGCCAAACAGGGCCTTGACACTCACCTGTTTGAAAGTAGCCGTCTGATATAGGGGGGTGCTCATTGCAGAATAAGGATCGAATTTGTTCTCAAAATTCATCAGTATAGTCGATACACTAGGTTCCTTAACCTTCGTCTCTGCCATCGAATCTGCCATCAAATCAACCATATGACCACCAGAAAACAAGAAAATCTTTAAAATCAGTATTTTAATAATTTTCCCAACGCCTACCATCGAAGCATTCTGTAATTCCATCAACAACAGCTGATGCCTTGACATCCATCTTTTCCTCCCTCAAACAGCTCAACACCAATTTTCCACGCAGCAACACCGAATTATGATTGCTTATAACACCAGCTCTACACCCAAAATTAGCGATCCCCTAAAATGTCATACAGATTTCATACAGTCAAAACATATAAATCCCAAACTGAACCAAAACCCTCCATTTGGAAGTTAAATCATAGAAAATATCAAAATGCCATAATAAAATAAGCAAATATTATTAAATTTCATCAAGGTATTCTAGTAATTTGATCAGAACTTCGTTTCGTTTTCTTATAAAACCTAAGAACTAAGGTATCCGTGTCAAATACACCCTGGTGATGCGGAAAGCTGAATGCAACGACGTATCGTGACCAAATTCATCTGGATACGGGTTTATATTACTAAATTATCAAACCCATTATCCTCTTCGTTTGCTTTCTGTTTCGTTCTATGAAGAAAACCCAAGGAAATGGACTAATATTGAAACATAACACGTAAATTGAAGAAGTAGAAAGTACAGAGAACTTACTCGGGGATTCTTCAGTTCAGATGATGGAGCTTTGAATGGCGGCGATCTGAGAGAAGAAGATGAAGATGAAGCAGAAGTAGCAGCAGCAGCCATGGTTGTATTTGGATTGTTGAGACGAGACGGGTCCACGGTTGTTGAACCGGTGAGTGTATTTAGACACAGCAGACCGTCAATGCATCATGTTGATAAAACGGGTTGACCCGGAAAATCAAGGTTGATCGTGTTATGGGGCCTATMATGGATCTATCATATATTACAAAGCATTTGACATAAATTCTTAAAATTAATTTTTTATGCACTTTGATTATGATAAATAATAAAATAAAATATTAAAATTAAGATATATTTCGTTGCATTGCACGAATACCCTTCTAGTTACAAATAATATAATGACTAAAGTTTAACTTTTGGTCCCCTAATGTTTATCGCTTTTAACGGTTTTCGTCCTTCAACTTTGTTTTAAGATATTTGTTCTTAACGTTTGTCAAATTTTAACAGATTTTGTCCCTCAATCTAATGGTCGTTAACTTTTTCTGTTAAACCTAGTTTAATAACGGGTATTTTAATCATTTTTTATTGTATTAAAAAATATCGTCTTCTTTCTCAAGATGTCAACCCCACTCTGTGAATTTTGTACATAACCACCTCCTAGTCCCCAATTTTTTTCCAACGATATACCTTTGTCCCCTTTTTTCATCCAAGAAGGACCAAAGCACCGACCATCGGTGCTACTTTCCATCCCTGTAAAATGGAGATAATTTTGTAAAGCTTTCATGGTGATTAGGGTTTTCACAAGAACGATTAGGATGAGGTTTGCTACAGGGATGACGAGGATTGAGCGAGAGGCAGAGATCGAGCAAGAGACATAATTGACCAACACCTTTACCGACGATCACGATTGGTGTCGGTCGTTGAAGTTCACCGAATAAGACGACTGTTGGTATTGGGTGTTTTAGTGTTTTTAAAAGAAAATCAAGAAAATTAGAAAATGACTAAAGTACCCCCTCATTAAATTGGATTTAACGGAAAAAGTTAACCGCCGTTAAACTGAGGGACAAATCTGTTGAAAGTTGGAAAACGTTAGAGGGTAGGAACAAACTTGTTAAAACAAAATTGAAAAATGAAATGACAAATACTGACTAAAAGTCAACTTTAGTATGAAAATATCTACGAGTCTTTGGATAAGTTGACTTTTTAATCTAACTTAATTTTCTTCAACTACTTTTAGTACTTCATCTATCTTCAATTACATTCATGTACCTTTATTCAAATCTATCTCCACTTGTAAGTCACATTAACAGATTTTTACATACATTTAAACATTTTCACATGCATCAATTTGTTAAAATTTCGGTAATGAWGATAAAAAAAAAAGTAAGTAAAGATATTTGGATGCAAATGAAGGTGGTTGAATTAAGGTTGTGTTCTCACCTTCTCACCATTGGCTCATATTCTCCCCGGAACCCAACTCTTTGTTCAAGTAACGTTTTGTACCAAATTAACAATTTTCACAAACAGTTTTATCAACTGCAACTATTGAATTTTGTCCGACTTTACTTTTTGTCTTCTTTTAAAGATCCAATCATATGTTACATAGGAGTCGTTTACCTAAACACTTACCCGGTAAGTGTTTATTGGTAAAATTCAACACTATCATTTACTTATTGGGTAAGATTTTAATCCACCAAAATGACATCGTATGTAACAATTTACCCGATTAGTGCTAACCGTGGTAAGAGTCGTCGTCATCATTTACCAGGTAAGACTCTCGGTCATTGCCTTCGCTCTTACCGAGTAAGATTATTGATCCTTGCCATTTTCATCCGGAAAGGTACTATGATTTGATAAACGTTTACCCGAGTAAGTATTTGATAAACAGCCCCATAGTCTTCTTCCTTTGTGTATCATTGCCGATCCTTTTCAAAGGGAATGAGAACTGATTGTGGATTCTTAACAAGTCGAATCCGAAGCGAGAGAGTCGATGGGGACTAAGTTGAAGAAAGAGGTTGAACAATATGTTGATTTAAGGGACACTGTAATCTTGCAACAAATACTGTGTAGCATTTTGAAGCTTCAACAAAACTACACGTAAATAATATCAGTGCTACAGACATTTTAAAAGTTTGTTTGGCTTTTAATTTCAAGAGCTCGATAGACTAGTCAATGAACATACAAACTAGTCAAGACATCCATGATTACCACAAGAAGCTAATCTTAAAGTAAAAAAAAATAACATCACATGAGTGCCAAATTTCCAAGCCATACTAAAAGACAACATGGGCATTTATCAGGCTAGCGCAGGACCAGGGTCCAGGGTCCGAACCAAACACCAATTTGGTGCAGGAAGTGAGGAAGCCTAGAACCTGACCAGGCTAGGCAGCCAGCCAGCCTTTCCAAGTGGTTACAAATGTGGCTAACACATCTGTATGTTTACTGCATCAACTTGTTGAATTCCTACACTTAACTACATTGTTTTTTATCCAGGTTTTTCTAGCTTACAAGAAACCAACCCGAGGCCGAGGGAACCTCATTCATCAATTCCATCATCTACCTGCAATGAACGAGCCGAACTTTTACTTTACAAGTTTATATCATGTAATAACAGGAATATAGAACCATCAACTACCTTCTCAAATAATTAACTGCAAAATTTCCATCCACAGAAACATTCTTGTGTGTTAACTTGATGATAAAACATACATTCCTACTTGTCTAAAATAAGATCAACGAAAACCTTCTACCAATGACTTGTATACCTCAAACGGAAAAAATAATGTTGGAAACTTGGTTGATCACATGATGGTTATTTGATACAATGAGATACAAACATTTCCAGTTTGGGTGTGGGGTGGGGGAGGGTGTGACACCGACAGTGGCATGGTGGTGGTGGCAGCTATGAAAGCAAACAGTAATGGCCTGGTGGGGATGGCGGCGGTGGGGTGGTGAGGATGGGGGTGGTGGTGTTGGTCAAATTGGATGCAAATGTTATTTTTGCCTTTCTAAAACCAAATTATAGAACATGCTACATTTGGCAAGGAATGGAATTCAATTCTTCACTTATGCCAAGGAATGATGAAAGTAGAATCCACTCAATTCAATCCACGATCCAAACATCAAGGAATGTGGTCAAAGGAATTCGTCATTTCAATTCCATCGAATTCCTCTGGATTTCCACAAATCCAAACGGCCCCTAAATGCATGTTTAGATTACCAAGGAGGAATCATGAATGAAATATATGAATTCAAAGAAGTATGAGCAGTGTACGGAAAGTGAACAGGTAGCTCTTTGGCTTTGTCTAAAGATACAATGCTAAGTGGTGTACTCTCAAGTGACTATACTACAATTGCACCTATTCTTTTAAACTAAAGACTAATGAAACAAGAAGATTCATATGTCAATATCAGGTTACTTCAAGCAAAAATATGTAACAGTTATAAAAATGTAGAACCCTTTAAAAAAACAGCCAGGTGAATGACAAAGAAAGCAAAGTGAAAACCTATTTTGTAGACATGAAGAAACAAAAGAGAACAGTAGAGCTCACCTTCTTCTAGACCGTGTAACTCTCATGCTGGGGGCCTCAGAATCAGCCTTCTCAGATGCACTACTGCTTTTCTTGGCTCTATGCTTTTTTGCTCCTATAAGAATATTACCAAGACTTGTCACCAAGATTTAAAATGGAACAAGTGACAGCATGCAATAGAAAATCAACAGAATTTCACAGTACCTTTTGAAAAAACTGGGGGGGATTGGATCTCATCGTCGCATTGTTCTGACTGAATTACTTGACTAGAAGCATTAGAACATTCTTCGGAGTCCACAGTTTTTGAAGCATCTTCATTACTAGGAAAGTCAGACACTTCATTCATCGAGGGATCCGTGACCTCACCATCTGTAACATATTATACTTTTAGCATATTTATCTGCTATATTTATATCAATCTTAAATAATCCACTGCACGCAGCAGGTTTAAATGTAACTTGTATCTGGTTTTTTGCACCCAACAGTCAAAGCTCCCACTAGGCTAATCTATTTAGATGATTGCATTTCAAAAACCAACAAAGCCATACCATGAGATTACAGGAAAAAGAGAAAAAGCTAATGATCTGGCAGTATTTATTCTTTATGCTTCAATAGATTTCATCACATAAGCTAATTTGCAGAGTAGCCTGTTGGTTAGCAGCTTAATGAGCTTAAGGGACTCGCAGCTTATTTGGTCAGCTATACATGACTGTTTGGTAGTGGCTTAATGATATAGAAAGTGGCTTATTCAGTAAGCTTCTAGGGGAGCTTTATGCAGAATGCCAAGTTTTTGCCAAACCTGCCCTTACCAATTAAAAACATGTTCCTTCCATCTATGGAAAAGCTCTCCCTAATTAAAACCTTCCCAATCCATACAGACAGATTAATCCACATAGATAACTTCATCCATACAGGACTTGATGGAAACCAACCAAACATCCCCTAATTGTACATGGGTGAAAGCTAGCTATATGTCACGGGCAGCATGTTTCCCATGATTTTAAGCGACATTCCTACATTAGCACCACAAACACATAATGTGCCGCCTACTGGATTACCCACAAAGTATGATCAATGAAATGCTGCTTGAATGGACTAGAATTCTCTAGGAAATGCTAAAATTCTATACACTTTGTATCACGTAGATTCCTCCATAACACTCTAAAATGCTAATCAAACTTGTACAGAGTTGGAATTTTGTAAGATAAAGCTAGAAGCCTACACAACTCTCATTCCAAGGAGGTGAAGACCCCTATAGATATATGGAGTCTCCCTCATTTCTAATCCATCCAAAAATTCTCAAGCAATGAACATGACCTTCTTTACAAACTCTTTATTCCCTAATCTAGTCCCTTCTCAAGTTTTTTCAGACTGACTTAGTACTTGAAGTACCAATGTCACATGGGAGGTTAAGGCACAAATAATAAATAACTCCATGACATATAGCCAACCACATCAGCAAACGATTATAATTTTTTTAATTAAACCTTAGTTTCATTGGTACAAACCTTCAGCAGCTTCAGACTCTGCACTTTCCTCTTCAATATTCGTATCCACACTAAAGTTTTTTAAGGCGTCAGCTTTCTGTTGATGAACAGCTGCATTTCTTGCTGTATCCTCTTGTTCCTTTTTATCAATGTGAAACTTGCTGATTTTCCCCTCAAACTCTTCAATGCAGGACTTGAGTTCTGGTTTAGCAAACTTCTTCCCCTAGAGAGAGTTAAAAGTACAAGATGTAGATCATGCTTATAGAAAATTTTGAACATAAATTGTGAAAATGCATAGGCGATAGAAGGTACCTTGTTTATTATGCTTCTAAAATGATCCATCACAGCTTCATTGGATAAAACATGCTCATAAACTTTAAATAATTCTATCAACTTCTTAATACCCTTGTCAGTAAACGATAGCTGTGAGAGACAATATGATATGTTTTCCCATTGCCTAGCATCTGCATCAAAATGTCAGTGATGGAAACAAACACAACTTATCAACATTGAAGCAGAAATAAGAAAAGAGGTTCAATAATATTGTGGAATATAGCAAATTACAGCAGGAGAGAACATAAGAAAACAGGTTCTTGAGAGATGAACAAAAATCTCGCAAGAATAGAAAAGGGAAATTCTTAGTTGCTATCGATCCAAAAATCGAAAACAAAAATGATTTGGACGGATATTTGGTAGTCTGCTTTGTCCAGACAGATTGTCACCATAGGGGGGAGACCCATTTAAATACCTATGGATTTCAAGTCTTTCTATTGCGTTGAGTAGCTTCAAGTGGCAGACATATTCATAGAAGCTTTAGGTAATAAATAAGAAAGAATATGAATATTGTGCCGACATCCTAGCAGAAAGGCATACATAAAAACAAAAATCTGCTTTATTGTGAAACTAGTTGTATCCCTACAATACGGCGGGAGCATGAATTTTAATGATTTTGAAGTTCCACTGGTTTTATAAGATAAGATTTAACGATGATATAGGTTACATTTGGTCTTTACATATTAATACAATTTGAATAAAAAAGAGTTATGGTTCCAATTACAAACTATCGATGAAAAAAATTGTATAACAGTTTAAAATCCAACATATTTAAACGACGTCACAAATGTATTCGATTTACACCAAGAGCAAAGAACCAAGAAACTTGAGTTTTAAGATAAACACTCAAAACCAATAAAGAAAACTACAAATTTGATAGATCATAAGCCATGAAAAGACCAAAAAAGATGGGTGAATGAAATTTCAACTGTTTACCCTCTTTCTTGTCCAGAAACTCAGATTAAGGTTGAATTAATACATGTATATATATATATATATATATATATATATATATTTCAAAAAAACCCAAGAACATATTAATTCAGAATATATTATACAGTGCAATTTGGACAGCCTAACCTCAAAATATATAGTATATATATAAATAAATAGCTATGAAAGTATAGATCATAAATATTAAAAATATTTTTTTAAAGTGTATATAATATATAATAATATAATTAAGTCAAAAACTATTCAATATTGGACTCATTTCGAAGATATTAACGACGATTATAATGGTGTACCTTGTTAAAATAAAAATATACTTTTTAAACATATTTTAATTCATATACGATTATGTATGTTAATTTGATAAAGTTTAAAATGAAACATTTAAAAGTAAAGGACATAAAGTAAATTAATTAACTAATTATAGGAGTATAAAGTGTAAATTTAAAATTATAATTAAAAAAATTGGTTGTGAGAGGGTGAGTGTATGTGAGGAGAGGAGTGGGTGAAAAAGTGAAAAAGTATAAAAGGTATCTTGGTCATTTAGTATTTTAAGACTTTAAGATTTTTGTTAAATTTGCTTAATAAAATAGTATAGATATAGATATAGATATAGATTAGATCAGAGCTGGTTTAAAAGTCTAGATATCAGTCATGGACTTTAGCCCAGCCTCAAGTCACAGAAGAAAAAATTTGAGTTTGCACTTTAAAGCTTGCCCAAGAACAGGTTGTATAAAAACAAAGAAACAGACCAAAAAACTTCAAATAAAAGAAAATTTCATAAAAAACAAATGCAATTGAATCTTAAAATATATGTTTGCACAATTCACTTGTGCTAACAATACAAGACAAGAGTTGTCATAGCAAATGTCAAATATAAGACTGAAAGGCCATACTAAAACGCTGTTGGAGATTTTACCTGTGACACCACTAAATCTATAGCATAGCTTTTCAACAAGAGCTTCCATTTGCTTGTCCTGAAAAATTATAACATAACATGTCAATGTTTGACCTTATACCTCATCGATACCACAAAAATAGAGTTATTTCTACCTTCTTGATTGACCCAATCAAAAATTGCATAATATTGAAGAAGGATTCTTTTTTCAGATCCTGGTTTGCTAACTTGCCAAGGATATCCGGCAGTAAATTATATATAGGATTATTCCCTGGAAAAACAAGATGAGTAATTAATGAGCTAATATGCCATTCCAGTGATTACCATACAGAAGGATCATTCAGTATTGAAGTGTGGTGCAGTTAGCATCCACATTTACCTTTCTTGGACAGCTCATTGAAGAAAAGTTTTGCAAGATTAGAAATCCTTTCGTTTTCATCTTCCAGTCGCATTGCCATCTCATTTATATGGCCTTTAACCTAACAAATAAGAGACCATATTCAGAACCAACCGATACTTCCAAGTATATAATTACAGCTGAAGTAACTAGACAGCATCTCCAACCTTCATCATGTCATTGAGGATGAGATGAGAGAGAACTAATACAGCATTCTTCCTGACAGAAACTGAAGGATCATGCAGTCTCGAGTACATATTCTCTGTCCATGGTTCTAAAAGATTGGGAAAGCGAACTGCCAGATCTCCAAGAGCAATTGTACAATTGGAACGAACAGTTTCCGATGGTGCACTCTCAACAACGGTGAATAGAAGTTGGAGATTTGCTTCGCTGGTAAGTAGATTACATATGAAGTGTTAACAGAAAGCAAAGAAGAGGGAGAAGGGAGAATAGAAAAAGGTAAACAAGAGAGTAAGAGAGAGGTCCTACCAGAAGTTACCATCAATAATCATCAATCGGCATAAAGCAAGCATCCCAGATGCCTGCAATTCAGGATACTAAAGTAGAAATGGAAACCATGTCAGCAATGATATAAATCATGTAAAGATAGCAACTAAAGAAAGTGGAAGGCAATTAGGCTTTTACTATTGCACAATAGATTGAAGGTGGCCATAGGACCATTTGCATGAATTGCTTCAAGGAGCAAGCATTTTATTTCTGCCTCTGTAATGGTTTAGTACAAAGGACTGGATATCAAAATCATGCAACACTGCAAACTTTGCAAGGCCGTTCAAATCATCAAAAGAATTATTTGGTTTTCACACTGATAAATCACTGTTAATCTTCTAGCTGTAAGCTTTGCGTGATTAAGTACAATGGTCACTTTACAGTGATCTAAACATCAGACCCAAGAGAGGCTAAAAAAGCAAAACTGTCAATCCTAGGTTGATTTCATGTTTTCATTTGCTTTTAGCTGGTAGAAATGGTAAACCTTGCCGTTGCAAACAAAGCTCTAACTTTAAGATAGTACATTATTAAAGATATCTTCATGCAAGGATATTTTATTAACTTTCCATGTGCCTTATTAAAATCTCGTAACTGCTATAACATAAAAAAAAAAAAAAAAAAAAAGAGAGAACAGAATCACCTTCTGCATCAAACTGAAGTTTCTACACAGTTTTGACAGAAATGGTGCACAGTGTCCAATCAAGTTCTTTTCTGAAGCACCAGAAACAATTTCTTTCTCTGCCCTTTCAGAAAGTATGTCAAGCACTGCATCCTCAGAGGCAGCAACACCTAATTCCGCATTTATATCATCCTCCTACAAGACATCAAAGAAGAAAAGGGTGAAAAACAAGAAATCAAACAGATAAAAAATATGTCTTATCAATAGTATTTCCAGTCGTATTACATCTCACCTTCTGTTCAGTAAGAGGTTTACTACTATTATCCTCAACATGGTGGCCTTCAGCAACCAACTTTTCTTTCTTTGCTTTCTCTTTTTGGATCTTCCTAACACAGGATTCAATGTATACCAGTTGGTTGATGGCAACATGGCTTATAACATATAGAAATCTACTTAGTTTTGTAACTTGAACTGCAGTAAGGACACTTGAGCTGCCACCATCAGTGTCATCTTGCAACTCATCAACTCCAAAAACAGAATTGTGAGATCTTATCACCAAATCAGCTGCTAGAGTTTCTGGAGAAGGATGGATAGCATATATTGTACTAATTGCTCTATCAGCAGCAGCATACCATATATGCTCTGGAAGCCAAGATCCTGTAATCAAACTGTCTAAAACACCAAATACCCTGCTGCCATGATTAGTTAAGAGATTTTTCTGGTCATCGGCAGATAACCTCTGAAGTGCAATACAAGCTGTTCTGGCAAGCAAAGGTTCTATCTTTGCCCACCGTCCAAAACCAATATCTATGATGTCCTGTAGATGAGAACTAAGAACATCAGCTGATGATTTTGCAGCCATGCACAACACAGATAGAGCACCACGACTGCTTTCTGCACTAGTTCCACTAACATTGAAACAGAAGTAATCCCACAATGCTGAGACCTGCCACCATAAAAGAAATTGTTTCAATTAAAAGTGATAGAAAGCATATCAACAGTTCTAAACAAAAATTATTAAGAAAAAAGAATAGTCAATACTACATGCTCATGGCATCTATTTTCAAGGTGGTGTCGCCATTAGTATCTGAAAGGTTGAATGGAACTCCATAAAGTTTATATGAATGATGATACCAGTTTGGTGACTTAGGGCCATACCGTACTAGCAGAGATATCCCCTTTAGACATCAATGCACCAACAATGAACTCCAATGCTGCAAGGTCCCCAATATTTGAATCAGTGGCAAGAGTTATGAGATTTTTAGCAGTTTCATTTGGGCTCTTCGTTATGTAAATTGTAACAAATGCATTCTCCACGGCTTCATAAATAGATTTGTCTTGAGAAAATACCTTCACGCATAAATGAAAGGCATTGCAAAAATGAAAAGTTAGCATAAGAAACAAATATAAATATAAATAAAGCAAAGAATTGCTAATTAAGGACTCCAAAAAGAAAGCATGAAATTATAAAGCATTATTGCATCACCAGTGGCAACATCTTTCTAAGGCAAGCCTCTGATCCATCAATCTGAAACTGCTTGCACCTCATTAGCAATAAGATTGTGTTTTCAACATCAGTTGCTGATGATGAAGCCATTAATTGAACAAGGGTTGGCATGGTGGCAGATATACATTTAGAAAATCTCAAGCCTGCCTCAAGTGATGCAATCAAGGTCCTGGTTTGCTCCAAATTCCCAACATCTGGTACCGAACTATCCATTTGAGTACTTTGATCATTGTCCTGAGGAATGCAGCTATCAGTCAAACTATCCTGCTGCTCCTTTGGAACTCCAGCCTTGTCATCAACTATTTCACCATCTTCATTTCCAGCATCACCATCCAATGATGATGCATCCAGAACACTTTCTGATGAACCATTTGGTTCTAGTTCATTCAACTTTTTCGTGTACTGCTTTAAGGTCGCCTCAAATGAAGCTATCCGTAGTTGTGGCCCAAATGGATTATGTTGCAACATCATAATGAGTAAATTCAGCGCGGATTTTCTAACTATAGCACTCTTATCCTCCAACCTCCCAGCAGCCACTACAGCAACTTCATTCCATAAACCAATTGATACAGAATGCTCTTCGCACAGTTCAACCCATACTTGTAGTACTCGACTTCTAGTATATGCTGAAACATCCCTAGCACGTTCTAGCAAGATTTCCAACATTGCCTGCTTGGTTCGAAGACGTATAGACTTTGAACTTACTTCACCCTCAATGTCATTGAAGGCCTTCACCACCAGCTTCCCCAACACTCCAACAAGAGCATTCCTTATCTTGTATGACTCTCCACCAAAGTGTGGAACCAATAAACCAATGTTAGTTGAAATTAACTTTGGCAAACGATCAGCAAGCTCTACAAGAAACCGCCCTATGTTTTCAGCTCCAACAGTGTCTTTCACATAGTCTTTTGGGTTAGTTCTCCCTATTTCTCTAATAAGAGAGATGCACAAACTTCCATCAGAATACTTTTTCTCTGCCCAAGCAACAGCATCAGCCAAGTGTATAACAACGAAATCATGTTTATGAAGTAAGTGCAGGATCGAAGCACAAGTTTGTGCCAAATAATGATACTTGGTTGCACAAGTTCCAATGACACGACATAAAGCTGCCTTTGCATCAGAATCTTTCAACAGCACTGCATTCTCGAACATAGAAAGCGCATTTCTACAACCAATCAAATTATGCATTTGTAATCGACATAAAGCTCCAAACTCATAGATACATATATTTAAGCTTATCAAATATACTATGATAATGATACCAAACATACCTCACAATGAAAGACAAATAATTTTCGTCTGGGTCTGAAGAGCCGAAGAGCAATGAGAGGTTGATCTCCAGGGAATTTGCGATCAGGTTTAGTATACGTCCCCTTTGGGCCTCCCAATTCCATGAATTAGCAGGATGTTTCTTCCTGCTACTTGGCAGTGCCTAGAAGGGAAGGCTGTTAATACTATTGACCCAACATCCTTAACAAATGCACATAATGTTAATCTAGACCCATCTACTCGTGATTTATCCCTATCAAAGTTTATCATTCACCAATACAGATACCATGCTTGACATTTCCCTACATATGCAGAGTGTTCCTGTTTGTACATGCTAATTTTCATATAGAAGTGAACATTGGACATCACTAGGGTTCTGGGTTTAGTAAGCCCTAAATAACATCAATCTTAGCATTATGAGGGGTTGTTTGTTTACCTTTAATAGTTCCATTAAGAGGCAACCTCTGAATCGTTAAGAGGTGAATCTTGTTTGGCAAAAAAAAAGTTTGTCTCTTAATGGTTCTAAAACCCTCTAAATGATTTTGTATCTTGGGCCTCCCTCAACCATTCAACAACCTAATTTCATTGTAAACAATTACCAAACACTTATATTTCATTTTGCATTATATCATAAGAGCCTCTTAATCCCTCCAGAAACAGTGTTCTTGTTTGACTGACATGGTCAAAAAGATCATTTTTCTGAATCCTGACTGAAATTTGACACTATTCCATCTAATTGCTGAAAGTAACAGTTACCTAAATAAAACATATGAATATGCCACCAACCACAACTCGATATCTTCAAACCATGAATCCCAGTTTCTTGATTAAAAAAGCAAACACAAATCTGAGCATCTAGAAATAATGGCCACCACTAGAGCTAAAATAAAACTTAATTGCATATTTCCTATGTACAAGCACATGATAAAATCCTAATGTTGAGCAGTAACCAGAGTAAACAACATAGTCAGCTATTAGCAAGAGAGAACGAGAGAGGTACTTTAGTAGTGTTGGTGGAAGCAGTGTTCGAGTCCTGGGAGAGGACGACATGGATAAGGAAGAATGTATAAATCTTAAACGCATTTCTATGAGAATTAATTCGATCCAATGTTGTGGGAAGACCACCGTCATTACATTCACTCCCATCACTAGTCGGTGATGCAGGAACCCTAAAAAGAGAATCGATGTTCGGAAGCAGAACACTGAAGTTCGACCGAAGACTCTCGACTAGGTTCACTTTACAACCAGGAGTTAGGTCTCCAAAACACTTAATCAATGAGTAAATCCGATCGAAAACATCTTGTTCTTCAACACAAAACAGCTCTTTGTCGGACAAATCAAATGACACGCCTGAAATTTGAAATTTGGTAGTGTTTAAGTCCAATTCATGGAAATAGAAGGGAAATTGAAGGCGTAAAGTGGGTAAAAAGAAGACGGTACCTTTGACGAATTCTTCAAGATCTGAAGCTCGGAGAGAAGAAACGGAAGTGGGGTTTTGGACGGATAGATGAGTGGCATCTTCACCTGAATCTTCTTCAAGGACGATTAGGTTTTGGGGAAAGACGAACGTCGGAGACATGGGGGGACAGAGTCCGGCAAGAGAGAAACGAGATATTTCTGTGTGCTTGATTTGAAACGCTGTGGAGAGCGGGAAATGGAAGAAGGAAGACGGAGAAAGGAGAATTGGAGAAACGTAAATTTACGAATATGACCCTCAAGATTCTTTTTTTGAATATTTTATCCGTTTTTGGAGCGTGTCTGTCGGGATTTATAAAATGCAAAAATGAAGATTTTTATGGCCTTCTGTTATTACGATGACCAGATTCCATTTCAACTTTGGTTTGCTCAGTAATACGGGTGCGTTTGATGCACAGACAAGACATGACAGCTTTTCAACGTTTGGTAAGACATAACTGATTAAAATGACCAATTTATCTCTAACGTTATTTTGCTTCTGTACTAAGTTAAAACATATGCAAAACAGTTTCCCAATAACTTATTATTGTCCTTAGCAAGATTGGAGGGATTTTGCTTGAAGAGTGAACAAACAGATGGGTATTGTTGAAGAACTCATGGGTATTCAAGACAGTCCATGAATCCAACAAGACCGTAGATCAACCAAGCAAAATAGAAATCATACAAACAAAACAGTAGCAAAGAATATGGTTAATGAAATGCAAACAGTAGCAAAATCGAACACTTTTAAACCCATTGCACTTGTTGTCGAGTTATGCAAACAGTACCAAAATCGAGTAGATAAACCCATTGCCCTTGCTGTTTCAGATATAGTTATGCAAATCGAAGTAGAAAACAGCAAAATCGATTAGAAAAATCGAGTAGAAAACAGCATAATCGAAAGTTCAGAGGGCACTTTTTGCACTTGTTGTCGAGTTATGCAAAATCGAAAAACAGCAGGGTTCTTCTAAACGATCGATGAAGAAGAGGAGAGATCGATTACCTGAGAGTATGGAGAAAGGAGAAAGGTCGAACGATTGGTGCTATCGATTTGTGAAGGGGAACGACTATGTCCAGGCCGCCGATTGATGAAGGAGACGGTGGAAGATGGAGGCGACGTTGTGAAAATGGAGGGTAGATAGGTCAAATGTTTCTTGTTCTAGTTAGTTCCATGGGGGGAAGGGTGGACTACCGTATCCTACCCGTGTTCTACCTTGTTCTAGTTAGTCCCACATAAAACCATACCAAACATGGGACAAATGTGTTATGTCTTGTCCTGTCCCACCCTGTTCTGCCTACCAAACGCACCCTAAATGGAATTGAATTCTATCAACCATGGATTTCGTCATTCCATCGTAATGATGAAGAAATTGAATTTCATTCCACCTAATATTCTTAAAATGACAAAATTGCCCTTATTAAACCCCTAGAATTTGATCAAAAATTTGTTTCCCTTGTTCACGTTTTTCACGACTCAAACATGGTTTTCACATATTTCTCTCGATCTCGCTCAGGACTCGAACACAATATCTCCTAGTATGATTATCCTTCACGCTTACATGTTTCGTAATTGACTTGCTTCTGTAATCGATTTTTCCATTTGGTTTTTCCGTAAATGATTTCTCTGCTTATATAATCAATAGCGGTTAGATGGTTAGAACGTCATATCTTTAGAGATAAAGAAGGGAGTTAACTTCTTTCCAGTTAAGGAACGGGAAATCCTTCTCCTGTTCCATGAATCCAATTTGCATTCCATCTGGAAGCCTTTGCACCAGGTGCTAAAGCGTGGGTGTCTTTTCAAAATCGATTTTTCTTTGATGAACAAGTTTCGGTTGGTTTTTGTTCGATTTTTTCTACTTCAAAATCGATTTTTCCCTTGTAACAAGTTCCAGTTGATTTCTATTCGATTTTTTTTGCTTCTATGATCGGTTTTGCTTCAGGTAATAAACATCGATCTGCTTATGGTAATAAAAATTGACTTGCTTCTGTTAATACCATTACCTCAAACTCCCGTTAGAGATTATTCCAAGGCATATATGTGGTCTTTCTAAAATGGAAATGATTTTATTATTATTTATTGTTCAAAAATATTGAGAAAGGGGTATTTTTGTCATTTTTCATTATTCCATTTTAATTCTTTTGTAAAACAAACAAACATATTATAATTTATTCAACATATTACATTCCATTTTCTGTCAACCAAACGTTTGGTTAAACCTGATAACATTCTATTTCAAAATTTTCTAGATTCCAATTTATTTGATAGGTTTCATTCATTCAATGAATATTATGCGAACCAAACGTCCCTTATACTACTTTTGGACAAGTAACTGATTGTTGATAAACTAATTTTTAAATAAAGTATTTATTTTAACTCCAAAATAAAAAAGATACTAAAGAGAATGAAAAATTCTCCAATTTTAAAGAACTCCCCATAAATTTTTGTCATGACACAAATAAAATTCTTTTATTATATTTTTCATTAATGGAAAAAAACATTGAAATAATATATTTAAGAAAAAAACAATATTTAGTAATTTAATAATATAATTATAATCTTCAAACTAAATAAACTCCTAAAGATTGAATATAATTTTCTTTTTAAAGATTTTAAATTTGTTATTCTAAAAATATTTGTTCATAAATGGTATTATAAGACTTAAAATGGACATAAAGTGTAATTATATCACTTTTTGTGAGGGCCAAATTATATATAGTGTAAAAAATTTGTCTAATTTGTTTAATGTCACATCCCGTTAAAGCGGAAACACGAAATGTAACAGGTAAGCGAGTCACATCAGCARAYAATAAATAACACCATTCAAGTTTTACAAAAGTTCGAATTTAACATCCATAACCAAGTGGAATAAAATACTTCTTTTACAAAAACTTCAAAAATGAACTTAATCGGTATCGCCACATATATGCTCCAAAAACTTCATTTCTTACTTTAATCCTGAAAAGTATGAAACATAAAACAACGTCAACTACAAATAGTTGGTGAGTTCACGAGTTTTCATATGCACAAAACATTACAATGCATAAATCATTTCTTGCAAACCTATACATAACTTTTGCACATAATAAACGTAAATCTCTCACGATGTTTAAAAACTTGAGACACTACTGAGTCTTTCCTGACCAATGTGCCTCATTATTTTACGAACGACCATAAGTAGCCCGTACACTCACTTAGGTCCCACARTTCGTAGTAATACTAATTCAGTGGTGGTCCAAATTCCACATGATTAGATTAAATAAAACATAGGTAATGTGCACCCCTTTCTGGGTGGGACTGTCAACACAATAGTGGCTATCCACGATTACCACGACCCAGGGACATGCCCGAGTTAACAAGTAGCGTTTACGGACGGGGACTTTATTTGGAAACATATTCTCAAGTGCATCAATTTAGCAATTATATCATAGTGCAAAACCGTCAATATTTCATGACATAAACAAATCTTGACTGAACAGTTCTTTAGTCCAACAGTTTTATAAATAAACAGTATAGTTTGCATAACTTCATGCTTTTCCCCCAGTTTAAATAAACAAAAAACATTAAAAGTGGGGCCGTGAATACTCACAAATTTGCCGATGAATATCCAAGGAGATGACGTTTGAAGCGCTAAATGTCCGCCCTAACCTTCCTAAACAGTCTGAAAACCAATAATTAGATCACCTAACGGGTCTCGATAAAGATAAAGTTAAATTATATCCCATGTAATGCTAACGAGTTTTTATGAATTAAAGTTGATACTTATATTATCTGCTATAAAAATAGCCCAGAAATTATATATTTTAAAATCAAAGTCCTTTGGACAAAAAACTGATATTTGGACAGAATGCAGATTATGTCTCTAGAATTTTTTGTCTCACAAATCACTGCAAAAATGAAACTTCCAAAAGTCATTTTGTGTCCAAATTTTTATATCATCCATAATAATGAGTTAAACAGATTTTTCCCAAATATCAAGAATTTTGGATGGGTTTAAGGCACTCATTAATACCCTACACTTTGAGTGACACAGTCCCCAAGACAGATTGCACACTATTCGAGTGACGGTCATTTGGGGGGTCTAAACTCATCATTTTTCAGTGATTTTAACTTTATTTTAAAGCTAACACATAAGGTTAACTTCCAGAAAAAGAATCACCCATTTTCAATGAGTTTTGAAGAAGATGTAACCGATTTAAGATGCATGCAAGATTTTGTCAACAATGCTCTTTTTACACCATAATCTTGTATCAASAACTCGAAGGCTCAAAACTTAATATTTTTTAGTGAGACCAGTTGCATTAGAAAGATAACTCATCCAAGTGTGTTTTAGAAGAAAAATCAGAACGTTTTGACTTTTATTTTGAAAGATACAGTCGACACAAGTGCTAACGAAATCTGTCAGTTTTCAAAATATATCTTTTCTTGATTAAATTCCACATGCAATGTGGTTTTCTCCTAATTTCTTAGAGTTCGAAGATCGTGGATTATAGATTATCATACTTTTGAATACATTTTCATGTATTTGATGAATAATCTCCCCTTTTGAATTATTCAGAAATTTTAACTACAATAACGAAAAGTAGGTGTAGAAGAATGAGAATCTTTGTTATAATATAAAGGTAAGATAACTAGTATAATACATTTTTCTTGAAATCTTGGATATTCTTCAAGATTGACAGATTTCTAAAGATGCTTGAAGATGAACTCGGCTGGGGGGTTTGATTTAGAGAGAGAAGGAGATTAGGGAGAGGAAATGTTTCTTTTGCAAAATCAGGATGAAAAATGAGAGTTTTTCAAAGAATGTGGGGTATTTATATGTGGATTTTAAATGTGGATAAAAGGACCGGCCTCTTAAGGCCCAAGTCTATAAAGAAAAAATTTATTGTTCCTTTAAATAAAATAAAGCCCATTTAATTTATAACTAACATATAATTTGTCAAATATTGATAAAAATATCATTATTAAATCAAAGTTCCACATTTTTGGGAAAATTATTTGGACATTCAAATGAGACTTTTATATTTTAAATCAAAGTTCCACCATTGTTCTTCACCTCCAACTCCATCTACTACAACCTCCTTTACCAACCACCATCGCCCACCAACCACCACCATCCATTGCCA